AACTTATACGAGAGTTTGGCAGAGTGGCAGGGTACAAAATTAACGAACGAAAATCAACAGCCATAGTGTATGCAAATAACACCAAGATGGAAGAAGATCTAACCAACAGGATACCATTCAAAATAGCAGAGAGAAGTATGAAGTATTTGGGAATAAATCTAACCAAAAGTGTAGGAGACCTATTCGAAGAAAACTACAAACTATTTAAAAAGGAAATTGAACAAGACCTCAAAAGATGGAATAACATCCCGTGCTCCTGGATAGGCAAAATCAATATCATTAAAATGTCTATACTACCACAAGCAATATACATTTTCAACGCAATTCCAATCAAATTGCCCAAAACATTCTTCACGGAACTGGATACAATGATTCAAAAGTTCATCTGGAAACACAAAAAACCACGAATAGCTAGAACCATCCTGAAAAATAAGAGGTTAGCAGGGGGAATCACAATCCCGGACCTCTGGACATACTATAGAGCAGTGGTTATCAAAACAGCCTGGTACTGGCACAAAGACAGAAAGGAAGATCAATGGAATAGAATAGAAGCACCAAAAGGGAACCCACACAAATACAGCCAATTAATCTTTGACAAAAAGACCAATGATAGCTCAAGCAAGTGGGAAGGCCTCTTTAGTAAATGTTGTTGGGACAACTGGCTGATAGCCTGTAGAAACAAAAGGATAGACCCACATCTATCACCATACACTAAGATCCAATCTACATGGATAAAAGACCTAAACCTACATCCAGAAACCTTCAAACTCTTGCAAGAAAATGTAGGAAATACACTGCAAGACCTAGGAGTAGGTTCCGGCTTTCTAAGAAGGACACCAAAAGCAATAGCAGTTGAGAACAGAATAAACAAATGGGACCTCATCAAACTAAGAAGCTTCTGTACAGCAAGGGAAACAATCAACAAAGTAAAAAAGCAACCCACAGAGTGGGAGAAGATCTTTGCACACGATATAGGCGATAGGGGGCTAATTTCCAGGATATACAAAGAACTTCAAAACAACCAAAAAACCAAAACAAACAAGCCACTCAAGAAATGGGCAAGGGAAATGGGCAAACATTTCACAAAGGAACAAGTCCAAATGGCAAACAAACATATGAAAAATTGTTCCAGCTCCCTAGCAATAAGGGAAATCCAAATTAAAACATCGATGAGGTACCACCTAACACCAGTAAGATTGGCCCACATAAACAAGAACACCAACGACGCTTGCTGGCGAGGATGCGGGGAAAAGGGAACCCTACTCCACTGCTGGTGGAGCTGCAAATTGGTACAGCCTTTATGGAAATCAGTCTGGAGAACACTCAAACAACTCGGAATCTGCATGCCATATGACCCAGCAATAGCACTCCTAGGAATATATCCAAAACACCTGATTTACGACAAACCAACATGCATCCCTATGTTCATTGCAGCACAATCAGTAATTGCAAAAACATGGAAGCAACCGAAATGCCCATCAGCAGAAGATTGGATAAGAAAGCTTTGGTTCATCTACTCCATGGAATACTACTCAGCTATTAAAAAAAACAAAATGCAGTTCTTTGTGGCTAAATGGGCACAACTGGAAACTATAATGCTAAGGGAAATGAGCGAATCCCAAAAGATTAGATACCACATGTTTGCCTTGATTTAACCTGTAATTTATTGTTTGGTTGTTTGTTATTTTTTGAACGTGTCATTGATGCTGTCTCAACCCAGATGTTTCGAAGAATGGAACTTGCATTATTTTTAACATATTGTTTACCCAATACTATGTCAATTAATTCCATAATGTTGTATATTGATACTGAGGCCTTGTTGGGGCTTTTAACCGACCGGATCTTTACTCTGTTAGACCTATCTTCAGACCATAGAAGGTCTCCCCAGGAGGCCACTGAACTTATCTGGACAATAAGACGCTGAACTTTATGCTAGGCATGTGTTTGCAAGCAATGAATCTCAACTGAACTTGAACTATGGTTATGCAGCAAGGTGGAGGAATCCACCATGGGGGGAGGGATATGGGGAGGGGTGGGGGGAATCCCCAGCGCCTATAAAACTGTACTACATAATACAGTGTAAGCAACAATAAAAAAAAAAAAAGAAATGAGTAGAATAGGAACAAGTGAAGCCCAAAATAAGTGGAAGGAATAATAAAAGTGAAAGTAGAATTCAACAAGGAAAGAGGGAGGACATTAAGACCAGCAATTAGAGTGTTGCCTGAGGCGTTCACTTTTGAAATTCTTGGGTTCCGGTCCCAGCTCCAGTGCTTTATTCCTGCTGGTGCTGGCGCCGACCACGGGAGGCAGCAGTGAGAGCCTACGTAGTTGGGTCCCTGCCAGCCATGCCTTTCTGGATCTTGACTTTGGCTGCTGCAAGCATTTGTACAGTGGGAAGCTTTTTAAAACAAGACAAACAAAAGACAGTAAAATAAGAAATGATCAGACAATAGAGGAAAAAATACTTAAGCCAAAACGTTTTTTTTTTCACTTTCAAAATATAGATAAAACTGATATAGTTTACATCAATCAAAAGATGGATTAAAAATAAAAAGGAGATAAAGAAGAGTACGTGGGATTAATGAGGAGACATCACTAGAGAGCTTACAATAAAAGGATAAAATTTAATAGTGTTATTACTTACATAATGACAAAAGTGTAACAACCATACATTTGATAGTATGCATAAAGCAGACAAATTTCTTGAAAGATATATATGACCAGACTGAGTCAAAAAGTAATAGAAAACATGAATATCCAATTTAGCATCATTGGCAAAATTCATCAAATGTTTGAGAAATGAAAGTTACCAATTTATACATTGAAAAAATAAAGAAGGGACAAATCTTCCAGCCCATTTTAGAAATAATCCTGCTACTAATCACCAGATGAAGATATTAAGAGTGCACTATTCCTTATAAACAAACTATCAGGAGATTGCTATTTAAACTATAAAAATCATAATGCACTATGACCAGTGGTGCTTATCCCAGGAATGTTATATTCGTTTCATATTTGAAAGCCAATCTGTATTATTTATCATATTGGCATTTTAGAGGAGAAAACCCCGATTCAGCTACTCCCCAACTCTCAAGGGAATTGTGCCTTGAGAAAACCATTGTAAGAGGAAAACACCTTCACTCTCAAGTTCTTTCGATACAGCTAGCCTACCAAATATCACAGCTGAGCTTAAAGAACCTTCAATGCACTGAGATATGTTATCCTAAAGTTGGGCACAGTCATTTAACCCAAAGCCTAATTTATAAGGCATTGCATATGCCCCCCCCCACACACACAGGCATGTTGCAGACATGATGAAATACAGACACTGCTTGGTGTCGGCTGTTTCTCTTCCTCCCTGTTGGTCTGCCTGGGAGTTTTCCTGCTGCTGCTGCTGCTGCTGCTGGTCAGTGTCATGATAGAGTATCTCCCCACATCGCTAGGCTGGGAAAAGGCCAAATTCAAAATGGTAGCTGTGATTTCCAGTGCATGTCTATTACTTTTGCACTGTTGAAAAAGTGACAAAATCCCTAGTCAAACCGTACCACGTTGGGAACCACTGGTCACCATGTGGGTAGATGATACTTAGTGGATGAATAGTGAGTCATCCCTCGCACAGCTGTACTGCTGTCACTCTCCAGTCTCGGGGGCTTCAGCTCAAGACATGGTCCCATGAAGCCACATGCCCGGGTACCTCCTTGGACTCTTCCGATGAGTTTAAAGTGTCTGGAAGGAGTTTCTTACCTCAGCATGTCAACTCCCTTTGACTATAGTGCCTAGCTTTAATAGTTTGAAAATCAAGAAGGAAGAAAATGAGAGTTGATGGGGAGAAGAGTGAGAGGAGAACCGCAAACATCGTCATGTACTGTGTGGCACTTGTTCTTATGGGTGGCTGAAGAATGGAGGAAGACAGAAACTGTCTCAAATTATACTCCTCTCTGGTTGCTGCTGTCACTCATTGCCATGGCCCTGGTGGCTTAAAATAGCACAAACTGCTATCCCAGGCCATGAGCAGGGAACTGGATGAGAAGTGGAACAGTTGGGAAACAAACTGGTACCCATATGGGATCCTGATGCTTGCAAGGTGAGGATTTAGCCATCGAGCCATAGTGTCAGGCCCAATAGCCCAAACTTTTTATCCTACAATTCTGCAAGTCGGAAATCCAATATGAGTCTCATTGGTCTGAAGGAAGGTATCTTCCTCATGGAAACTCAGGAAGATTCTGGGCTTGCGTGTTCTGGTTTCCAGGGGTGGGATCCTTACATGCCAAGCATTCCTTCCACCTTCCAGGCCACCAATGGTCAGCTGGCTGTTTCTCAGGCTGCTTCACACTGATTGCATTCATTTTTCCCATTGCTGTTGCCTGTCTTCTCGTCCCTCATCAGGACCTGTGTGTACCCACAAGACTCCCCACTCCCTGATAAGGACCCATGGGTCTAGAGGGCCCTGTATATATTTGGCCCAGGTCCAAATATTCCCTAAATGACTCACACCTGCAAAGTCCCCTTTGCCATATGCTGTCATTTATTCATAGCTCACAGGGACAAGGATGTGGACGTGTTTAGGGGCGATTCCTCTGCTTTTGGCCAGTCCATTTCAGAATTCTCAACACTAGTGTGAAAAAGCATGACAAACACAAGAGACATGGGAAATCATTGGGATATGTGACTACTAAGAAAATAACTTGGAAGATGATCCCAAAACTGTGGACCAAAAGAAATCCAAAAGGTGCCTAGCCCTGAGGCTTATAAATGAACCAGCAGAAAAGTAAACCCCAACAGATGAAGGATGAGCTTTCAAGAGGGGGGAGAATGGTGGAGACACAGGGTTGTGGATGTCATCATGACGCCCTTTTGCTGACTGTGGTAGGGGCGTTTTGGCCTTGAGGTCCACTGTGGACGTGGAACCTCCGCTGTTGTTTCCTGGCATATTCCTTCTGCACTGCACCCTGCTGTGTGACATCCATCCATCCACCACAGTGCCCTTCTTTGTCTTGCAGGTACGCTGGAAACCTCCTGGATGAGGATATCTTCCGGGGGAAGGAGCTGGTCAGCAGTCGTTCACTGCAGGCTCTGGTGGCGGGGCTGAAGGCCTACAGTACGTGGGAGACCATCAGCTGCCTGCAGCACTGCCGGGAGTGCACCGGAGGCATGGTAAGCCCCCAAAGCCAGACAGGCCCAATGGGTCCCCATTGTACTGTGTGTGTTAGGGGAGCTCCATGGTGATCTTGGGTCTCTGAGTACCTCAGTCCTTGGCCTTGCTGTGTATGTCCTTGGACCCTGCCATGATTGATAGAGACCTTATTTGTACAGTGCTCAGCTTGCAGTGCCTGGCTCACAGAGGCTCTGAAGTTATCATTACACTTGGTGATGGTGATTGATGTATGGCACAGGACTGCTGAGGCCCCTACGAACAAACCTCTGCTCCACTGCTTTAATCCATTGGGGAGAACAGTGAGATTGACCCCCCATGCATTCCCACAGCTGACAAGGGGACAGAAGGTAGAGCATGCAGGGACTGCATGGTGTATCCTGCTGGCCACCAGGAGTATGCAATGTAGGGTACAAGGTATGAGGAAGCCCAGTGTTAATCTTTGGGGAAGGAAGGGAAAATCCAAGGACAACTCGGATCTATGCTCAATTCCCCTTTCTGAGAGGACAGGCACCGGCAGGACAGTGACCCTGAGCATTGGGTCTGGGGGCAGGACATGCAAGCATCAGCTGGCATGGCAGTTAGGGTTCAGCCCAGACATCTATGACCTCCCAGGAATTCCCCTCTTTATGCCAGTGTGGGCAGATGCAGCAGCTATTGGGGGCTCCAGACACCTTCCTGAGGAGGATGGAAGGAGGGAGGCCATATTGGGCCTTTGGTCTGAATTTCATGCTCAACCCCGTTGAAAATCTGCCTGAAAACAGTAGACCTGGACCTAAATGGGAGGATGAAGAGGCTTAGCCTGAGTGAGGAAGAGATCACAAGCTAATCAGGGGCAGCCATGGAAAATTTGAAGAGGCAGAATGAGTTTCCAGGAAGCCTGGCATCCTGCTGTCTTGGTCAGAGGCAGGGATGCCATGCGCATGGGAGAGGAAACAGGTCAAGAGGGGCTGACCATGAGGGCCTCTTACATATGAGCCATGGTGTCCACTCAGCTGAAACCCAGTGTGACCATGTCTCTGAAGGTGCCCAAGTGCAGCTGTATCCACCAGGGTGATGGTTCCTCTGGGGTTGTTGTGTGGATTCACAAGGGAAAGACAGAATCAAGACAGCTGGCCAGGGGTGCAGCTGGGCCTGAAGACCAGGTCCTCAGGGACAGTCATGACAATGACTGCTCACAGCCTTTCTTAGCAGCCTGCTGAGCCAGGGAGCACCCTGCCAGGTTGCTGGTTTCCACCTAGACATCCAGGAAGGTGACTGCCCCTTCCAACTAGCAGGTTGGTGGCAGCTAAGAACAGAACCCACAGATTCCAGGGTTAGGTCAGAAGGTCGGAGGCAAGACTTGGAGTCAGCTCTCAGCCCCTAGAGAAGAGGGTTGGACAATACTGGGAACACTGAGCTAGGTAGAGATGTGCATCCCTACTGGGCGGCTCCGTGTGAGGGTCCACTCTGCGCCACTGGTGGTGCTCCAGTCTTGGCTCTCTGCCGGGGCTCATTCCCTTGGTGCGTCTTATGGGCTGCATGCCCAGTGGCAGCCTCTCCTAGGCATCAGTTTCTTACCTCCCTATATGGAGAGGGTTTTCTGCCCCACCCAGTCATCATTTTTGGCCCCAGTGTGCATTCTGCAGGGCTGTGTTCTCTCTCAGTCCATCCTGAGCCCAAACAGGGCCACCTTACCCTGTGGCCTGTGCACCTGCCAGGTCCTGCTGTTCTTTGCTGCCTAGGATCACCCTGCAGTACAGAGCAGAGCCCTCTTCCCAGGAAATTAGAAAGGAGATGTGATGAGTAAGTAGCCTCCAGGGTTCCACTGTGGGTAGCTCTTCCAGGCAGGCACCCAACCCTGGAATCCACTGAGCCCTGCTGCTTCCCAGGGAAAGTCTTGAGCTCTCTGGGGATACAGACTAAATGCCTCAAGATTTCATTCATTCTGACACCAAGAATCTGAAGGCGGTGTTCCTGTTCAGAAGACTCTGAGATTCTTTTTATGTTTAAGCTAAAATCACCCCCCCCAACACACATCTTTGTGGGCTACAATGTGACATTTCAATGTTTATATCCAGTGTGTATGGGTCAGATCAGGGTAACTAACATAGCCATCATTATAGACATTTCTCTTTTGTGCTGGGCACATCCCAAGTTCTCTCTGCTAACACTTTCGAAATGCACAATTGTTGTCAACCACCATTACCATCCTGGGCTTTAGATACGAGGAGTTGTTCCTCCTGTCCAACTGGACTTCTGGGCGCCAGTACCTGCTCACAGTTCTCTATGGAATGGAGAGTGCATCTGTTTTTTTTCCTTTGAAATTTGAAACTAATCCATAAAACTTGACCTCGTTGGTCTTTTATTGACTCGTTACAGTTTTACTCTGAAGACTTTGAAACATATAGCTTTATCACTTTTGGGGACTGAAGTGTGGAAAGAAACATTGATACTGTCCATAGAATCTTACAGAAAAAAGATGTCTTCCATACGATGGCTCACTCCCCAGATATCTGCAATGAGCAGAATTGGGCTAGGCTGAAACCGGGAGGCAGGAATCCCGTCTTGGTCACCCTCATGGGGTACAGATGTTCAAGCGCTTAGACCATTGTCTGCTGCTTTCCCAGGTGCAACAGCAGGGAGGTGGATTGAAAGTGGAGCATTGGAATTTGAACAGGTGGCCATATGAGGTGTTAGTACTCTAGGCAGAGGCCTAATGCACCAAACCACAACATAAGCTTGTGCAGTAAAGTTTTCATAGCTGGTATACAGTAAGTATTCAACCAATCTTTCAGGTCATGTGAATATCTTTCATGACTAGCAGTGACATTATATGAAACATTCTACAGTTTGTTTTTGTGTTCCTATGATTGTTCTCTTGCGATCAAGTATTTAATAATATTGGTATTGTCAACAAGGTTATACCAGCTTCCCCTTCCACCTGAAGCTAAACACAGAATGGTAAATAGGTCCAGAAGTAGTAGTTTTACCATTCTTTTGATCAGGACTTAAAGTCAAAGGTAGACTTTAAAATTATACCCCAGTATTTACAGACATACATAACTGAGATTAAATAAGGAAACTTTGTAAGACAGAGCTAGCACTATTCACGTGATGTCCTCCAGCAGTTTCTTTCTACTTTGTGTCATTTTAAGTCTGTTCTGGTGCATTCAACTGATTTTGTGACTGCTGGTGTATCCCAGCCTACTGTTTGCTAAACGCAGCCCAGACTTGCTGATCCAACAGAAAGAGTCTTGCTGTCTATGGCTGAGAAATAGATACAGGTTAGCAGATTGTCTGTGGTGATAAAGAGAAGCCAGAGCTGCAGGTGAACACGTGGGCTAGCCTAGCTCATGGGGCGAGTTCTGCCAGGAACCAAAGCTTCTTATTGTTCAGTTTTCTCAAGGAACGTCACTTTGGGACTGAAGCTTTTGAATTTGAAAATGGGAGCAATAAAGGCCTTTGAATGTAAGCATTGATGCATACAAGAGGTGATGGGTTCTTACACGCTCCCTTGGCCCCCACCTTTGGCTCACTTTGGATCTGGGGGCACTGCAGTGTGGTCTGGGTGAGAGTTCCTGGCCTCAGCACCGTGGCTGCTGAACTGCTATGCAAACCTCTGCCACCAAGGCTCCTTTCCTGCACAAATGGATGAGTTTTTCATGACATGTAGAGGTCAATTTCAATAACATGGAGGAAGACTTAGGGGGACTGTTGTGGGAATCTGGGCAAACTTGGGGGGCTAGGACCAGTGCTTCAGGAATAAAACTTTGCTGCTTCCAGAGCATTCTTAGTCAATAACGGAGAATACAAATAGAAACGAAGCTTTGGAATTAGATCACATTTTAATCTTTTCACTCCTTTGTTGCCAGGCTTTAATTTTTCCATCTCTGCTTTTTCAGCCCCACCTGTCACCTTTTTGTGCATAAAGCCTGGAGTAAATGAGATTTTTTTAAACTAAAAAGAAAATTATCACAAAATCTGATCATTATGTGAACAATAGCACTAGAACTCTCACAATTCATGTCAACACTTCACTGCTCCCATGACTGCTGATTAAGAATCACTGGGGTATTACTAAGCTCTCTCCCTGTGTCGAACTGTGTACCTGTTCCCTGTGCTGAAGGTCAGGGGGCAGGAGGAGTGGGCACAGTTCATGGAACCGTGGGGTCCTGCGCTAGGGACTTAGGAATGTTAGAAGCTTCTAATGAGGAAGTAACGGGCAGCTGACTCACTGTCCTGAGGGAAACCCCTAAATCCTGATCAACAGATGCACACTCAGCAATCTGCAAGACACTGACCCTCAGGCAGTAAAGGGCACTGGTTTCTTTTGCTTCCTTTGTCTTGCAACAAAAATTGAAACCTGATAAAAGTTATTTTTAAAAGCTCATGAAAAATGGAAAAGTTCATTTTGATACCAAAAAAAAAAAATTAAAGAAAAATAAAGAAGAAGAACCCTTGGGGCTGGTACAGTGGAGCAGCATCTCATATGAATGTGGCCTCAGGTCCTGGCCGCTTCAGTTCCAGTCCAGCTGCCTGCCAAGACTCTTCTTACATTAAAAGTCTGCCTGTCTGTGAGGGACTATATGATGTTTTAATGCATGCATTCGCATTCCCTGTGCAATGTTTAAATTAGGATAAACATATCCATCTCTCTGGTTATCACTTATTTATGGTGAAAACGCTTAAAATTCTTTCTTCTTCTTAAAAATGTGTACAGTGCTCGTCCACTGCCATTATAGTCACCATGTTGTATTCTCTTTCTCGCTCCTAACTACTGTGTAGTACTGTGAATCAGCCTCTCTCCCCACAAGGACAGTGGTTTCTGAGAGAGAGAAAATAAGCTGGCCATGCCCTGGGATTACCCTAGTTTTCTTTCTCTCTCTTTTTTTGATTATATTCTTTCTTTATGTAAAATGAGTAGATTTCATTATTTCACGATATGGATTTAAAAGCATAGCTGTTCCACCCCCCATTCCCTCTTCCCCTATCTCTCCCCTTATATTTTTCCTAAATTGTT